CGTGATGATAATACGTGTCATCTTTTTCCCCAAGACAACGAACCATTGAAATAGGATATGCAGAACGATTTATCAATGTAAAGCATTAATATATTTAAAATTATGTGTGTGATCATTTGGGGGGATCATTGTATCTGCTATCTGTAATTGTATGCTAACAGGCAAAGACAGACAGCATTTTAAGAAGTTTAACACTAATTGCGACAAAAATTAGGTCCTGGTGAGACCAACTACCTAATTGCTTCATCCCAATTAATAGATAAATCTGTTTTATTGACACAGCCGCTTCGAAATATAGTTTAAGCTATGAATTTTCCAAATAATCTGGCCACATCCTTCCACCAGTGGGCACCGTGTCCTAATTTCTCAGGGCACAGTAACCACAGGTTTTAAATGTCTGCTGCCCAGACGCTTGTGGAAGCGAACTATCTCCTTATGGTTGTGGGTGGGAACCACACACACTAGGAAGATGGAATTGGCAGTGTCTCCGGTGACTGTGAGCCTTCTCTTCCCTAGAAGCTGTCTGTAGGGGCGGGGTGAGGCGGGAGCAGGGCGGCGGCATGGGTGGGTGGGGCTGGGGAGTGAAAGCAGGCAGGAGGAAAAGAAATTCGGAAGGAATTTCTGTAACTCTGTAAGAGGAGAGAAAGCCTCATCTTTCTCCCGAGGAGAAGCTGGTGGTTTTGAACTGCTGACCTTGAGGCTAGCAGCCCAACTCATTAACCCACAAGGCCACCAGGGCTCCTTTTTTTCCCTATAGCCAAGTAGTCAAGTTGAAAAGTAGCAATTCTACACAAACTTTGTTAAGTATTGTCTAATTTGGAGGGTGCTGCCATTCCCCCCGTGAGGATCCCTGGTGGCATAGTGGGTTATGCAATGGGCCGTAAAAGGCAAGGTTAGCAGTTCAAACCTAGCAGGGGCACCGTGGGGAAAAGATGAGGCTTTCTACTCCCGTAAAGAGTTACCGTCTGGGAAAACCACAGGGGCAGTTCTACCTTGTCCTGTGAATCAGAATCGAGTCAGTGGCAGCGTTTGGTTTTTGAGCTTGGCCATCCCCACCCCCATCCAGGCCCCACAGACGTCTCCAGCATGGCTGTGCAGGCGTACATCACTCAACGTCCACAGTCTGTCCTGTCCAATAGGGCACGATGCGTTCTGGATGCTGTGTGACCACCATGCTCGACACAGGCAGTGCCCACACCATTGGAAGCTAAATAGCCCAGAAAGGCTACGATGCCGAAACGTATGGAGGCCCGCACAAAGGGTGTGGGGCACGGTGTGGGGCTGAGCCAGGCTGGAGCTGCACCAGCAACTGGATGAGGACTTTGCCCAGGTCTAGACACAGGGTGGGACAGGTGCGCACAAGGGTGAGGGTGAAGAACGGTGATTGTGGGCACTCTGGTGCAGGTATCAGGAGTGAGGTTGGCACTGGCAGCCCTGGCTCTTGCTGCCCGGTTGGTGCAGCTGCTTCCTGAGCAAATGCAGCTCCGTGGAGCCCTAGGGGTGTAATGGTTATGAGTTGGGCTGTCACCTGAAAGATCAGCAGTTCGAAACCACCATCCGCTGCTCAGGAGAAAAATGAGGCGTTCTCCTCCTGTAAAAAGTTACAATCTCAGAAACTCTACCTATCCGATCTTATTGGGTCACTGTGAGTCAGCATCTACTCAATGAGTTTTTGAGAGCGGTCGCCTGGACCTGGGAGCCCCAAAGAACCTGGGGCGCTGGCATGCCTGCTGTCCTGTGCCAGGAGGGAGAAGCTGCAGGACTGCTGGGTGGGTGGGTGAGGTAGGGATTGGGATGCTCCCTGGAGCCCCACTGCTCATTCACTATAGAGGTTTAGGGTCTTTAACAACCACCAAGCGGAAAGAATAATCAAAAGGAGAGCTGTTTGCCCTTTAAAACAAACACATAACCCCCTACGGAGTCCTGGGCACAGATGCAGTCTGGGGTTGTCCAGATGGACATGAAGTGACGCATACCTGTATTTAGGTCCCTTTGTTCTGGTTCCTTTTCAGGGTGGCTGGCCCCTAATGGTGAGCACTTTGCAGCACGGAGGGACCTAACAGACCTAGCCCCATGACACCCCTGGGCGTCAGGCAGAGGGTGGTTGGGGAAGACCTGGGTGTAAGGGGAGCTCTGGGCGTGGGAGGACAGGACAGCCCCAGGGGCACCGTTGAGCCCTGGCCCCAGGCCTCATCCACTTGTCTTTTTTTTTTTTTTTTTGCAGATTCGAAGGGAGCCAACAAGGAAGGAGGAGGCTCGGTAAGCTCCAGAGGTGGGAGCACACCCCCAGCCTTGGGCGATCTGTTCGCGGGAGGCTTTCCTGTGTTGAGACCAGCTGGCCAGAGGGACTCAGCAGGTGAGATAGGATCCTTGGGCTCTCCTGACCTGCTTGCAGTGAATAGCCATGTGGTAGGCGATCGTGCATTTAGGATCCTAAATGCTGCACGTTTCTGGGCCACAGAATTGTTCTCAAAGTAGTGTTAGATTCCTCGGGTGAGAAATATGTAGGGCCTTGGCTTGGCATGAGAAAGACATTCACTCCGAAGCCTGGTTTATGATCCAAGTGGGTTTTTATAAAGGATAAAAGTTTCAGATTTTACAGTTAACTGAGCACGGAACTGCACCCACACACATGTGGCAACCTGAGGAGAGAGAGCCACAGCACAGCCGAGCGGAGGCAGAGGAGCAGTGGGGGGCGAGAGGGTTGGGGGTGGGAGGTGGTGCGGGGGGGGGGGGGGTGGAGTGGGGAGTGGGTGGTCTCCTGGTTCTGGCCTTTTCGGCTGGGAGGCATGGTTGACGGTACTGCTTGACCCCATTGGCTGAATTAAACCACCAAGCCTAGTTTGGGGCCCACCCAGGTGTACCACCCCCTCCCCCACCTGCCTTCTTCCAACTTCCTGTAGGGGGCCCTTAGACGTTGAGAGAAACAACCCCCTATCTTGCTACTTAACTGTAGCTTTTAAATCATCACCCTTCTTAAATCATCCCATGGTAATAATGAAAGAATGGTTTGCTATAGTGCAGGGGCATGGTAATGATGTTATTGTGGCTCAGAATGCGGACCATAGACTCACTGCCATGAAGTCAGTCTTCCTCATTGCCACCCTGCACAAGGTTTCCAAAACTGTTAACCTTTATGGGAGCAGACAACCTCATCTACCTCCCTGGGAGCAGTTGGCGGGTTTGAACCACCTACCTTGTCGTTAGCAGCTCAATGACTCACCCACAGTGCCACCAGGACTCCTTGAGAAATATAGATTCAAAGCCCAAACCAAACTCACTGCCATCAAGTCCATTCTGACTCACAGTGACCTTATAGGACAGGCGAGACCTGCCCCTGTGGGCTTCCCAGATTGTGACTCTTTGTAGGAGTAGAAAGGCCGTCTTTCTCCCATAGAGCAGCTATTGGTTTCGAACTGCTGACCTTGTGGTTAGCAGTCCAATGCATAACCACTACGCCACCAGGGCTTCCATGTTTGGTTTCTCAGTATTTCTCTGAGCAATGAGAAATACAGACAGTATGCAAATTCTAATCAAGAGAGGGAATTGCTATCATTGGGGAGGAGCTGAGGATGAAGGAACAGACCGGAAACAATGCTTCCCTTGGAAATGTGCACAGATCTTTGGAAAGGGGGGCTGTGGACTTTTAGGGGCAGGGGCACTGAGAGGTTCCAGGTCACTTGACCTGGGTCACCAAGTGCAGGATGTCTCTGCACTGTCTCCTGAGTTCCCAGGGAATCTTCCTCTCTAACAGGGAAACAGAGAAAGCCCTAGCTCACAGAGTGCTGGGGTAGGGCAACTTCTTGGCAGAGAACTGGCTGGCACTCCACACAGGAACCGATTGGCTAATTGACCTGGAAGGTACCAGTGATGAGAGCAAGTGATGGAGGTGTGGAAGTGCAGGCCAGGCCTGGAGACAGCAAGGCCCTGCGGAGAAGAGAGGAGCCCCAGGGGTGTATGGGGGTTCTATGTTGGGTTGCTCACCACAAGGCCAGCAGTTGGAAACCATCAGCCACTCCCAGTGAGAAAGAGGAGGCTTTCTACTCCCATAAAGAGTTACAGTCTCAGAAGCCCGCAGGGGCAGTTCTACCCTGTCCCATTGGGGTGTTATGAGTTTCCATTGACTCAATGACAGTGAATTTTTGAGTTTGGGTAGAAGAAGGCCATGGCCTGTAGACAATCTGGTTATGACCTGACCTGGGCTTGCACCAGAAAAGGTCAGCCTGTTCGCACTGGACAGGGCCCTGTGTGGCCCACAGGCTCCTGCTCCGGAGGCTGTCTCAAAGGACATGCAGGGAGCCATGTCTCTGCTATGCTGAGGGATTACCACCACCGTCACGCGCGC